CAAGAGAAATTATGTAAAGGTGCACATTTCCAATGATGAATGTCATTATACTGTATACCTAAAATGTACCAACAAAATTAAATTTTAAAAAAAAGAAAAAAAAAGTAATCCAACCCATAATGAAACAATCTGAGTTGTGGAGCAGCTACTCCATGCTGATACTGTAATGATTGTTTAATATCCATTAAGGAAGCCATTGTTCTCAGCAGGAGTAGATGCCTCAGGAGAACCAAGTAATCTGGAAAGGGCTTTGGAGTACTACCCTCCTACTTTCTCCTTCTAGGTATAAAACAAATCATAGAAATTCTCTATGACTCAGTTTTTCGGTCTTTAAATCAGAGATAACCACATCTATATCATAGGGATATTGTAAGAAATAAGAAAAATACAGGTAAAATATTGAATAATTTAGTTCACTGGGCACTCAGAACATGAAATTGTAGAGGGAAGAAGAGGCATAAGCAACATAATATGGCCAAAGCTAGCAGGTAAATAGATCAAGTGTGCATTCATGATCCCTCTGAGTAAGAATAACAGTGATGGTTCATGTTTACAGCCAAGGAAAGCACAAAGAGAGAGGGTTCTCGACCAACAATACCAGTACAAAGCCTGGGTCCTTGTGGAGGGGACTGAGGGAAAACTAACAGTATGTAGTCAACCTTCCCCAGCACAGGCACACCACCTGAGCCCAACCAGAGTCCTGATAATCCAGGCAGGCTGCCTGCATGTGTTCTCAGGGCCCATTTTAATGAAAAGACTTGAAAACTTTACCTGGTTGTAATGAAAATAATTCTTGGCACTGCTTCCCCAGTCAAAGGCTTGAAACTTTTGGTATTTAACAGCCTAAAAAGAAAATGAATTTGAAAAATGTTATCTGACATTGAAAACTGAAATAACATAAGGTGCTAGAGTTAGTTACAACCTCAGAAATCAATTTTATACCAAAATCCAGATATCCTCTTCATTTCCAAGTCATTATTTAAATAAAATAAATTGTTTTGTTCTCCTTTATTATATGACTTCTCACTGTGTGACTGGTAAACCACTATTACATGACATGAGAAAGCAGCTACACACATATAGCTGGAGTTGTACTGGATCCACAGTTGCTCCTATTAGATAAACTTTATCTACATGGATATTTTCCACTGAAATTTGCATCTTAAACTTTTTCATCAAGTTAAGGATTTCAGTTGGAGATACACACACAGTGTCAAGTGTCACAAAATGACATTTCAGACATCGATGGGCTACATATATTATAATGATCCTGTAAGATTATATCACTGAGTGATACAGTAGCTGTATAGTCTGTGTAAGTACACACTCTGACGTACACATAACGATGAAGTTATCTAATGACACAAACCTCAGTATGTATTTCTATTGTTAGGAGATGCCTGATATATATGTGTGTGTGTGTGTGCATGTGTGTATATATGATATATATATATCTTACTTATCTACTATTTTAATGATTTTATTGATTTAATGCTTTTTTCTTGAGACCAGTAGCAATACAGTCACCAAATAGTTCTGCAAGACAGTACAATTCTAATTAGTTAGGGACACTAGAACTATGAAATGACATTATATATAAAATTTTAATTTATGCATATTTGGAAGAGTGTGATAACAATAAAAGACATTTCTTTGTGAAATTTAAAATAATGGAAATTCAGACTTCCACTATGCTTCCAAGCTAAAAAAAATGTGTCAGGAATTAAACCCCAAGATGGCAAGTCAAATGAACTGGAAACTACAAGTTTTGGCCATGTGGTGGTACCTGGAAAAAAAAAGGTGCCCAAATGTGAAGCTTCAGTTCTTAACAGTTGTATAAAATTCTTTTTGATGTAATGAAATGCTGTGTGGGATTGGATACTAAAGGGGATTGCTTCAGGAAAAATGCTTAGCATCTGCTTTTTCCATTGCAAATGACAGATATTAAATACACTCAATATATTTAACTCAATATGGATTTACAGAACCTATGAATGCATCTGCTCCTTTTTTCTAACTGTCAACGAAAATTTAAAAATGTAAATTGCTCTGCCATGGCACACAGATGCCAGTTTACCGCTTTCTCCCACATGTCTTTCAGCATTTATGAAAAGTATCAGGAGTGAGTATGGAATACAGAAGAAAACCTTGCCTATAACTCACACTAAACTTGAATTTTGTGCTCAGTCACTTGGGACTTCAACATATCCACTTGAAAGGGCACCTCCAAAGAGGGAAAGTGTGATTATTTAGAGTAATCTAAGTAATTAGAAAGGCCAGTGTGCAATAATAAATATATACTCCACCAATACACAAAAACAGTATGCTACTGTCATAATTATAATAAAATATTTAAAAATTATTTACAAGGGCTGGGAATTTAGCTCAGTGGTTTTGCTGCCTGCTGCGCAAGCACAAGGACCCGAGTTTGATCCCTGGTACCAATAAATAAATAAATAAATAAAAACTGTTCATAAATCATTCCAATAACTAATACTAAGTGGAAAAAGTCATGAAATTAAATATGCCCTTTTTTTATCTGTGTGATAATCTTGGTAGATAAAGATCAGGAAGAAATGAGTATAGTATTAAAATAGACAGCTTTAAAGTGATATTTCAAAAATTATTTTTAGGTCTCTAATGCTTATGAAAATGTAAATAGGTTAAACTTCTTTAAAGTGTGCTATGTATCTGAAATCTTGAAGATATGCTTACCCTCTTACCACTAAGACTACTCCTATGGAGCACACAGATAATCCTAAGAAAATAATCTTGATTATAGGGTAGATATATTACACAAGAATATTTCTCTCAGGATAGTTATTATTGCAATAAAACTACCATAGCAAAAAAGGGAAAAAAATAAAATTTACATGACAGAAAACTATTTTTCATTACCAATATTTTTTAAATGTGTTTACTGACCTATAAAAGCATATTTTTCTTTTATGATGGCAGAAACCATCCATAGTGCCCATTTTTGCCTTTATCCTGTCAGTAATGGAATCCCTAAGCTTTCTCAAAGCTGCTAGGACAGAAACTATCCTCATCTCCCTGTGAGCACTAGGGATGTAGTCCTAAGACACATTTCCCAGTTATATTCTTCAGGAAAAGCCACTAGGCTTAGATTTCCTCTCACCTACCTCCTTGTGGTCTGAAACAGACAAGGAACCGACCCAGCTTCAACTAAGCAAAAAAGACAGCACCCTAAGAGGGCAGAGTTATAAACTGCGACCCTGCATGACCTCAGCAGCATGGTTACGTCCCATCCCTCTTTTACCACCAGCCTGGGCTGCTAATCTCTGTGCTAATCTCATAATAGAGGAAAAAAAACTATTTATTTAATGGATATATTTTAGGGTTTCAGAAACAGCAACTTAGTCTGCATCTAACAAATACAATACTATTTAAGTGAAAGCTACTTAAAAAGTCCCTATGTAGATCATACTACTTTTGTAATGGAAATGGTATCGGAAAGTGAGATTATGCCAAAATACTAATAGTGATTATTGCTTGGTGGTAAAGACATTCTAAAATTTTTAAAAAAACATATATTACACGTATAATAAAAATTATAGTGAATTATTTTAAAGTGTTTTTAAAAGATAATCAAATGTACATTTTGGATTTTGTTTTTCAAAAAATGCACTAAGTTTCAAAAAAATGAAGGACAGGGCTGGGGATTTAGCTCAGTGGTTCTGCTGCCTGGCTCGCAAGCACAAAGTCCCAAGTTCAATCCCAAAAAAAACAAAAACAAAAAAATGAAGGACAGCAGAATGATCCAAGTTACTAACTAAATAAAGTGTAGATCCCAGAAACACATGCCCTGAGAGTTCCAACAAGTCTGTGTTTTTATTAGCACCCTAAGTAACTATGACTGACACTCCAAAGACATGTTAGGATGTGCCTTCTGCCAACAGAAGCAAGTGCCTGGGCACTCGGCAGGGCTACCTCAAGGGTCAGAAAATAATAAGCCTTAGCTTGCGGGATCTCTGAAATTCATCTGGTTTATAAGGAAAACAGAAAGATTTGTAAACTATCTTTGGCCTAGGAAAGAACTAGGTTTGGACTTGTTAATAAATGAATGCTAATTATTTAAACAAAAAGTAATCTTCTGAATGTATTTTAAATAAAGTAGTCTTAAAGGATACCCCTAAAGTTACCACAGAAGCCTGCAAACTCCACTCCTGAGCTGTGGCCTCCAGCCTGCCAGCCCCCAGGCCCTGCATATCCTCAACACACTACCACCAGAATGGTGGTCTCTGTTCAACAGCCTGGAGGAGGGAGAATCACAGCCAGGGCACTAACAGGCAGCTGCACAAGGCAGTTCCTGTATTGATAAAAGGGCAGCAGAATAGCAAAGGACAAGGCTGCCTTCTGCAGTGAATGAGGCTTCAGAAATGTCCATGAGGCACATTCCAGTGCGGTTAAACCCAATGTTGCAAGATTGCAACAGACCCAGAGAACGGTGCTCTGGAACTCAGCCTGAAGCCTTTGACGTTGGCCGGCTGCTTGCAAAAAAGGCTGGAACAAGAGCAGAGCCACTCTTCCACAAATCTAGTCCTGGGAGGCCTGACACACATGGAGTGAAGCAACACCATTCTGTAATAGATGAGAGTGGTCCTCAGATAACCATGCTTCCCACATTCCCCCGGGCCCTGAAAGCAGGTCTGGAAGCCACTTGCACTTTGCTGAGGCATGTGGTACATCACATGTGGGCGACTGGTGGTCACTAAGCTTGTGACTAGCTCAGCATCTGCCTTCAACCAAATTTAGTCATCTTTTATGCATCTCTGGGAGTGTTGTCACTTTCAAGGTGACAGAAGTTGGGCTCTCTGGAGACATGTCCACTTGGTAGGAGGGTAAACATTCTCAATAATAAAAGGGAATTTCAATGTCACAGTACATGAAGAAATGAAGTGATTATAAATTGAAATATAATTGTGGAGAAAGGCAGCTGAAGGTCTGGGGCATTGCTTAAGTGGTCAGGATGTGCTGCCAACATGTGACAAATGACTTGCATTCCACAGGCCCTCTTCTAAACCAGAGCAAATTATGGCATTTAATACTCAGCCTTCTGGTCACTTTCATGAGCTAAGAGCCTCAGGTCCTGGCTCCTTAGAGAGGAGCCCCAGGGAGATGGGCTCATGCTGCTAAGTATTTGAGGCCATCCTGCCTACAGACAGTGGTCCAAGGGCAACTGAGGAAGAAGATGAAAGCACCAGTGATGTTCCAGATGTGTCACTCTGATTAGGAAGAAAATTCTGCTAGACAGAGTTTTTAAAAATACAGATCCTTAAGAATAAAAAGGACTGACCTACTGCTACATATAACATGGCTGAATCTCCAAATAATCATCCTGAGTAAAAGAAGCCAGGCATAAACTGTATAGCTGTACTTAGGCAAACTCTAGAAAATACAAACTAACTTATAGTGACAGAAAGCAGATCATTGGGGAATGGGGAGAAGGGGTAATTAGAAGGGGGCAAAGAATGAGCTGAGCATGGTGGAGCATGCCTATAACCCCAGCACTCTGCAAGGCTGAAGCAGGAGGATTACAAGTTTGGGCTCAAGCTGGGCAACTTCAAGAGATCTGCCTCAAAATTTAAAAAATGAAAAGGACTGGTGATGTAGCTCAGTTCGAAGGCCCTGTGTTCAATCCCTAGAACTGCAAAGGGAGAGGGGAATGAGATAACTTTGAAGGAGGATAGGTATGCTCACTATCTCGATTTAGGTGATGGTTTAGCAGCCAGTTTCCTGGATCAAAATATATGAAATTATGTTATTTAAAATAGTATTCCACTTGCATCTCAATAAAGCTGTTAAAATAAAAAGTATAAGTTCCCTAGTCCAAATGAATGAGAATTTCTGGGGATTGGACACAGGTGTTTTTGTTTTTAGTTTTTGTTTTTATTCTTTTTATTTTAGTTTAGATTTTTTTTTTTTTTGCAGTACCAGGGATCAAACTCAGGACCTTGTATTTGCCAGGCAGCCACAGTGCCACTGAGCTACATCCCCAGCCCTATCTTTGTTTTTAAAAGCATGTATTCTATTCAGATTCATAAACCTACTGCTTTTACTATAGATGTACTTTTGTCAGTATTACTTTTTTCATATAATATGTTATTAAGAGGTATAATTTTAAAAGCAATTCAGTAGTTCTGATAAAAGCAGTGACTCCCATAAGCTTACAAGCTGCCTCAGATACTTGGTTTATAGCATCTTGGTTTATAGCTAAATAGTAAATTATTTCATATTTAGAGAAAGTTAGCTAAAAAAATTGTCAAAAATATGTGCTACCAATTAAAAGAATCATACCACAGTGATGTATGTGTACCCATGTTCATAGGAGCACAATTTGTAATAGCTAAAACTTGGAAACAGCCCAAGTGCTCATCAACTGGAGACTGGATAAAGAAAATGTGGGCTTTTTATAAAATGGAGTACTACTCAGCCATAAAAAATGAGAAATTAAGAGATATTTCTAAATGGATGCACATTGAGGTGATACTCTTAAGTGAAATAAATAGTACACACGTGTAAATACTGAATAGTTTCTCTAGTGTGAGAAATTGAAAGTATAAATAAGGACTAAAAGGTATAATAGGCAATGTGAAATAGGAAGAAAAGGGGCAAAGGGGAAGGGGAAGTGGGAGGGGTAGGGGAAAGGAAAGAAAGGAATGGAATTAATATGAGAAAATGAAAAAATGGAAACAAAGTCTTTGTTAATAGGGAGGGGTGGAGGGGTTGAAGGGAGGGCAGGGGAAGGGGGAAAAAATAAGAACCAAGAGAGATTATGTAAAGGTGCAAATTTCTAATGATGAATGTCATTATATTGTATAGCTAAAATGTACCAATAAAATAAAAACATTTTTTAAAAAAGAAAGCACCTACAACTCTGGTGCTTTGCCAGTAAACTCCACCAAAAAAAAAAAAAATGTGCTACCCTGGAAAGAAGTCCCTGACAATTTGTCAGGTACCAAAAAAAGAAGCCAATTATGAAACAGTAAATGGAAGACAATTAATCTATTTCTACATCTACTATATCTAGCATATCTCTAACTGCTTCTCTGAAAAGATATGCAGCATGAGTTTCAGAGCAGAATATGGAAACACTTTATATCTCTAAATACAGTTTTTTTATCTCTGTGTAGACATATACAGAAATTTTATTTTCATTTGAAGATAATTTTCTTTTTGTCTACATGTAAATTCTAAATTTTCTAGAACAAACACATATTACTTATGTAATGAAATAATCAAAACTGTGTTTTAAAAGTTCTGGCTTCTATTCATGTCCATGGCTGGCTTAGTTCTGGTTTATAGTGCTGCAATAGCAGTTTCTACCTCCAAAGCTGCTTTTTCTTTTTGCTCCATCAATCTTTACTCACAACTTACTTTATTTCTGTATTACTTCTATAAAAAACAAATGGAGGGAGGGGAGGCAGGAAGAAGGAAAAGAAGAAAATATATAAGCTTGAATCACAAAGAAAGAAAAGGAAAGGGCTGGGAAGGGGTCAGGGAAAGGGAAGGGAACAAAAAGAAGAAAGTCAACTTCAACAATGTTTGGTGAACCCATGCATAATGCATTGTGCCTTACTGAGCACAGCTAAAGCAATTCAAGGACAAGGACAAGGACTTTGGGGAAGGAAAATAAATCAGATTTGCAAGCAGACTATCTTTCTGTTTGGGAAAGGTTTGCAAAGAGGTTCTTCAAGGAATACAATAGGCCTTTCCAACCCCGATTTCACCTGAATGCAGATGCAGTCCTGGAACACCTACCTGGCCCCAGTGTAACGCATTCTGCACAGAAGTTCCAGCAGGGCAATGTGTTGTATACACATCCACTCTAGACTGCAGAATAAATATGCTACATTAAAGGATGAAAATATCACTAAGGAGGTATGGATAATAAATATTACATTTTGTCCTTCAAAGCATTAAAAACTACAGAGGCATAATCTTAAATATATGGGATCAAGTTGAAAAAATTATTTTATTACAAATACATCCTATTAAACTATGAACAACTACACAGAGTACCTAGGAAGGAAATGCAAAATCTAGGATAAGCATGGGGCTCTATGGGTTGAGATTATAGGTCATTTTCATTTTGTTCTTTATATTTTCCTGAATTTTAAAATTTAAATAACAATCACATCTTGCTTTGATCATCAGAAAATAATTAACATTATTTTTTAAATTCCCTAGGACTTCATTCCAGAATTTTAAAATCTATTTTCAAAGTGCAACATTATAAATGACAAATATATGTAGAAACACCAGCATATTACTGGCCAATGGTTATAATTTATAAAACAAGTAAATACATATACATATATATGTGTATACGTGCCATATAAATGTGTGTATGCAAATAGCCACTTCAAATTTAAACACACAAAATTTTTAAAGAAACAAACTACTAGAATAAATATATAAATATTATGACTTAAATTGTGACAGAAACCCTTGTTCAACAGTCTCCATATGTGTTTGACGTAGAATCTGACACAAGCTGGTCAGGACAGGCACTGTGGGCACCTGCTGAAGCTAATTCCTGTGTCTCTTACGGGAAAAAGACCCTCTAGGGTTTGGATAAGCTCATTTGCATCTCGCATATCATCTGACACAAACAAGCACATTCACAGACAAAGTCACTGGAAGTTTGAATCAAGCCTTACTGTCAATATACATACCATGTTTAAATTCCTTTCATTAAATCCACACAGAAGAAAGAAGACATTTCCACAAAGCTCCTTCATAATGACATGGGTACAAATGCGGGTACTTAGCCACTTCAGAATCTCATTCTGGGGGAGAAAAGCTTGGCGCCCAAATATCTCCTGCAAAATCAAAGAAACCCAATAGTATCTCAGATATCTCAGTCTCCACGACCCACTTCAGAACACACACACCAGCATCCTCACTTGTGCCTCAGGTTCTGAGATCAGAGTATCGTCCATATTTCCTGTGCAAGTCTTTTACATGGTCACTGGGCTGTGTTATACTTGGTTTTAAGTGTAGTTTATGTCACAAACATCATAGAATACACTGACACAAACCTAGATGGTACAGGTCAATCACTTGACCTGGCCCCTTGATGAAATTAAGAGACATGGTGAGCACAAATGTATAGAGGTTGTACCCAACAGCACAATATATGACTTCACAGTAAGCTTTTTTATATGAGTAGAACTATATTCTAAAATAATGATAAAAAGGCAGCAAATATATCACTATCAAGTATTAGGTACTGCACATATTATATGTCTATACTTTCATACAACTGGCAGCACAGGTTTGTTTACACCGGCAGTACCACAAACTCATAAGCAATGCATTAAGCTATGACATCACTATATGACAGAAATTTTTTAGTTCCATTATAATCTAATGGGACCACCATCAAATATGCGATGTCTCAAAGAAATGTCATTATATGGCACATGACTATATATTTCTGTACAGGATTTTGTATACGTGTGTGTGTGCATTCATACATTAAACATAAAATGCATGAATAAAATGCATGGAGCAACTGGCCTCAATTGTCCTAAAACTCTTTCTTATGAGAGCTGTTTCTTTCTTGAACAGAGTTTAGGGCTACACAGCTTTAGGACTGAAGCCCAGGGCAGTCACTGGCTTGTATTTAGGGGTCACATGATAAAATATAATGAAGAATTATTTTTAGGGATGTGGTTAGAGATAAGGCAAGTAAGAAGGCACATTTCCCATCTCTCATCTTCTGCCTACTGCTACGCACAGGCTCACCTTGTGGAATAAAGAATAAATGCATGAATGTTTCGATTACTTTCTTGCAGACCTTGTGCTTTCTTTGTGTGGCAGGTAGAGAGCTGCACTGACACATGTTAACCAGGAGCATACAAGGCTGTAGTGTACAGTTTGTACTTATCTCCCTGAGCTCCCCTGGATGGGAAGTAGGGGTGAAGGGAGAAAAGCAAAGCCCACTGCTGCACTAACACCAAACACAAAGGACCAGGACAGATTCTTCCTCCCATGGCCAGTTCTTTAGATATGAAGAGGAAAATGGGGCTGGTGGACAGGGGGAGGGGGTACCTCAAAGACAAGATCCGGCATTTGTCCTAATTTGGTTAGAGGGCTTGTAGAGAAATCCACTAAAACCACAGGAGCCATGGAAAAAAACATTTTAATCTTTTTGGCCAGCTCAGGAAACTGTGAAAATGCTATAAAACCTGTGGGAACAAAAGGAAGACAACAGAAATCCCATTTTGTGGGCTTTCTTAGAAAAAGCAAGGGAGGCCATTCTCGAGTCACCCCCAGCAGCAGCCTGATGAGCCTGTAAGCAACTATGTCTTCAGAGTTAAAACAATTGAGAACCTCTGGTGAGCAAACACTGATTAATTAAATTACCAAATCAAGGGTATGTAAGTATTTGCTCCAAATCTCAACCTAGATAGTCACAGGAAGATATCCAGGTAGGGAAACCAGAAAATCCTCCCTGTTCCTATAACTATGTGAACCGTAAGACTGTATTTCCAATGCTCCACCCTGCCACTTCCATCTCCCTGGCCTATCCTTAATCTATAGCCTCATTCAAATAGACCACCAATGACTCAAACTCACATATTTAGAGTTCCTTAGCTTTAAAATATCTTTCAGCCCTCTCAGTCACTTCTTGTCAGTTAGCCCTAGAATGTCACTGTAGAAATCAGTCAGGACAGTACACAAGTAAACTAGTTGTGAAAGAAGAATCCCAGGTCTATTTTTCTAAGGGTGAAGCATGGCTGTATATATGTTTAAAAGTATTCATACTTTTCACATAATAATTTCTCTTTCTAGGAAAGTATTCTAAGGAGACATGAACACAAAAGTGTTAATCACAGTGCACACTAAAAGGGAGGATTAAATAAGTTATGGGAGAAGTTCTCCCTAACCCCTTATTAGAGAAACTTGCTTGTTAGAATTATGGACAATTTGTATTATCTTTAAACATTGCAAAATTATCTATTTTTATTTCTAATAAACACATATTACTATTATCATCAACAGAAATTAAAATGAATACAGCCTTTTAAAACTAATTAGGAATTAAGCACAACCTGTTACTCTCATAGTTAAATTCCAATTAACTTTGTTTATTTGCAGTGCTGGAAATGAAACACACTAGGCAAGCACTTTACCACTGAGCTATATCCCAGCCCTCCACTTAACTTTAAGCATATTTTCTAAGCCCCTTAGAAAACTTCCTGTTTGTGCTTAACTTGAAAAATAAACAATATGTTGTAGCTCACATTAATTCTTTCAGTTTTAAGACCATATTTAGCCATTTAGTTTAAACTATGAACTTCCATAAAAGACTGTTACCATTGCTTTGTTCTAGTCATGATTTCTGCTTGGCATTAAAAACAAAAACAACTGCATTTGCACTAACTTTTTTATATTTCATTTTTAAGAACAAGTATAAACTGTAACAAAGACATGAACTTCCAATCTTTATTACATACATACCTATTGTGCTGCCTTGAGAATGACCCACATAATACACTTGGTTTTGGCCAGTTTTATTCAGAATGAAGTCAATTGAGGCTGGTAGGTCATATTTTGCCATCTCATCAAAACTGTAATCCAAAAAAGGAATTCTTTTGTTAAAACTGTACATAAAATAGAAGAGCACACAAACACCAAACATGAAGTTTGCAGAGTATGATAAACAGAACACAGCTGAGTAAACCAGCATTGACCTTGGGAAACTGAACCTTACCAGAACCACAGAGCCCCCTTGGACTCCCCTCTAGTTGTGCCTCCAAAGGTAACTATTATCCTTATTTTTCACATTACAAGTCTGTTTCACCCACTGTAAGATTTTTCTACAAATGGGATTATACAGTATATACTCCTCCATCCCTAGCTTTATCCATGTTAGTACAGAGTTGTAGTTGTTTGTTCTTCTACTTTGCTAATATAACCTACTTTACTTGTCCATTCTGTTCACTGCTGATGACACGCATGTGAGTAGTTTTCAGTTTGTCACTACTGCAAATAAAGTAATAATGAATATATCCTTCCACATGCCTTTTGATAAAAGTTCTCATTCTTGTGTGTCATGTCCTTAGGAAGGCTCTAGTTTTACAAATGGGAAGCAATCCTGGAGACATCCTGAGAGCCAACCTTCTCTAATACCCCGTGCAACAAGATATGGCCTTGAACCCAGTAAGTGTCTGAGTGCACATTTATATGTGTTTGTCATCAAGAGACAGATGAGCCAATTGTTACCATACACTTACAATGTCCCAGGCTCTGTGGAGATTCTTTCTCAGTATCCTCTCCTTTAATCCCTTGATGGCTTTATGAGACAAGTGTTTATCATTTCCATTTTATGAATAAGGAAACATAGAGGGATTGTGCAACATGCCCAAATCATACGGCAATTAATTGGTAAAGGCAGAAGTAAGAGAGAGAAGAGAAGAATTTCTGAAAAGAAGAAAAGTGAGGAAGTTTGCATGTCCCATACCACCTGGAATGACAGAAGAACTTAAGGATTCCCATCCAAATATAAGGCCTAATTAAATCATGTACTTACAAGTTACCTAATTGCTAGTTATTCAATTCCTGGAAAGTTTAAGAATCTTTCAAGAGACATCAGTCTCTTGCAATTTCAAAGTTACTCATCTAGCAGCCTCCTCTTCTGAATTCTTCATATGTCTGCTTTAAGTCCACTAAGGAAAAAGACCCAAGTCCTAATCAACTGAAATATACCTGAAGGCCCAGAATTCATCCTGAGAAACTGAAAGTGTCCTATGTTTCCGAGACCAGGTGTTTCCCCTGCTGTTTCCCATCCACACATCAAAACCAGCATCAGCAAGGATGAAGCCCAGGCTGCTGTTGTCAAGGTTTGTGACCCAGTTACTAGAATCTGCCAGAAAGCCGTGTTGCAGAAAGACAACTTGTTTGGAACCTGAAAAAACAAATTCATGTTTAGGAGATAGTATCTTCAAAACAAAGATAACATCTTGCTAAATGATCTCAAAATTGATAATGAAAGAGAAACAAAATAATGAGGTAGCAATTTGCTCCCATATAACAGTAGTAAAAAAATTTTTTTAAAAAATAGGGCTGATGAGGGGCTGGGGATTGAGCTCAGTGTACTTCACCTGCCTTGCAAGAGCAAGGTCCTAAGTTCGATCCTGGTACCAAAAAACAAAACAAAACAAAAAAAAAACAGGGCTGATGAGGTAGCCGCAAAATTCAACTATTTTTACTTGTTTAGTAACAATACAACTGACTTGACCATCAAGAAAAATTTAATATACTTTTAGGAACGTGAAAAATGTTTTCACAGTCAGGCATAGTGGTGCACACCTGTAATCCCATCTATTCAGGAGGCTGAGGCAGGAAGATCACAAGTTTGAGGGCAGCCTGGAAAACTTAGTGAGTCCTTGTTTCTAAATAAAATTTTAAAATAAATGAAAAGAGCTGGGGATGTACCTCAGTGCTCCTTGAGTTCAATCCCCAAAACTATTTGTAAAATTTGCTCCAGAAACTGTATTTCTAACAATAAATGCTAACAAAATAAACCAAAAGAAACAGATCACACAGAACAATGAGATACCACTATAGGCCTATGAGAATAGCCCAAATGAAAAAAAAATGAGAATGCAAATTTCTGGCAAGGATGTAGAGCAACCGGAACTGTCATTTATTGCTCACAGAAATGCAAAATGGTATTGCCACCTTGAAAGACTGTTTAGCAGTTTCTTACAAACTAAACATACTCTTACCATACAATATTGCAATCATGTTACTTGGTATTTTACCCAAAGGAGTTGAAAACTTATGTCCATATAAAAACCTGTCCATGAATGTTTAAAGTAGCTTTACTCATAATTGCTAAAATTTGGAAGTAACCAAGACATCCTTCAGCAAGTGGATGGATAAGCTGTGGTATATCCAGACAATGGGGTGTTATCCAGCTCTAAAAGGAAATGAGCCATCAAGCATGAAGGAACTTTAAATGCATATTACTAAGTGGAAAATGCAATCTGAAAAGGTTGCGTTGTATATGACATTCTCGAAAAGGCAAAAGTAAAAAAGTAAAAAATCAGTGAGTATTAGGGTTTGGGGAAAGGGGGAGAGAAAGAGGCAGAACAAAGAGGATTATTAGGACATTGAAACTCCGTGTGATAGTACAGTTGTAGACAGAGATCATTATATATTTGGCTAAACTCATGGAACATAGCTCCTCAGAGTGAACCCTAAGTAAACTATGAATTTTGGGTAATGATGATGTACCATTGCAGCTTCTTCCATTGTAACAAATATACAGCTGGGGGATGTTCATAAATGGGCTGAAAGGAGGCAGAGGGCACTGGGTGGTCTCTGTATACTGGCCTTTACAGTAGCTGTATTCAGAGTTGCCAAAATTTGGAAGTAATCAATTTTACTTCTCCATTTTTCTGTGAATCTGAAACTGCTCTAAAAACACACAACCTAATAAAAAAAAGTTGAATTTAAAAATTAAATGGAAAAAGATAGCACATTTATATATTCATAAGTGTGTGTGTATAAGTTTATTTTCTACTTACCTGTACCTGAAACAGTGATGCAGCAGAAAACAAAACAAAAATTTGAGAGCCAAAGAAACCTGACTCAGGCTGCTACAGTTTTGAGACCACTGATCATTCACTAAACAAACCTTTATTAAGTACCAATTATGTGTTAGGCATCTTTCTATGCACTGAGGACACAGTAAAGAACAAAACCAGGAGGGATAAAAACACTACCCTCATGGAGCTGACATTATAATGACCATGAGATTTAAAGAGAAACAATCCTGGATTCAACTCAATCCTCTCCAGGTTCTGATATGACACCTTAGGCAAGGCATTTAAACAACCCTTAAAATTTACACTATCCCTGCCAAGTAGAAATGGCAATATGTACCTAATAGGGAGTAACGGATGTGTGATTGTATATAAAAAGTCCCAAACAAAGTGTCTGGCACACAGTAAAAGTACAATATACATCAGCTCATATTAAGCTATTTAACCAGTCTAAGTTCCATAAATAAATAAGAGGAATAAATGAGATAAGAAAGTCAGTGATAGACACATACGTCAAACTGAACAAGTCAGAGCTTCCTGTCCCTTCTGTCCACCTTTTACAACAGAAAAATGCTGTAAACAAGCTAATTGTCAAGTGGACAATAATTAATTGTAGTTCACTTGGTTTAATAATTAAGCCATCAATAATGACTAGGACTGTGATAGCACAGAAAAGCCTACTACTTTAAAAGAAGAGAAGGCAAACATACAAAATTACAGACTAGACTGCAGCTATGCAAAAATAATGTAAAATATCAAAGGAAAATGGAAACAATGATTTGTTGGGATGATAGGGCTGGAAGTGAATTGACAAATGTTTATTTCTGCTTATGTCCCAGTATATATAGCCATTCCTTGTTACACATGGTATCAGATCCAGGACTCCTGATATCCCACATACAAAATAGAATATTTTTATATAACCTTTATATCCTCCCACATACTTGAAATCAGCTAGAGATAACTTATAATACCTAATATGATAAGAAATGCTGTCTAAATAGTTGTTATACTGTATTATTTACTGAATTGTTTAGGGAATACTGAACAAAGACTACATATTCAGTGCAGATACAATTTTCCTCTGAAATTTTTTGATCCATGGTTGGTTTAATAGAGATGCGAACCCCACAAATATGGAAGTTCAATTATATTTAGCAATTAATAAATTATTTTTAAACAACAGTTCCTCTGATGCCAGGTGCCCCCTGTAGACAGTTCTAGAAGTGTTCACGTGGACAACACGGACAACCTGTCCAGTGTTGGGTGCTGGTCCTCTCATGTAGTAAACAGTGGGACTCTTGAGCCAAGAACCCCAAATGAGTCTATGATTTTCTAATCACAACACTGTGCTCTCTGCACCCTTAAGTCCAAGCAGGTGACTTTCTGCCCCTGGAGAACTGAAAACAAACGGACCAAGACTGGGGCTGCTTTATACTTTTTTGCCTTCAGATATTTACATTTTGTTTTTTTGTTTGGTTGGTTTTTATGGTACCAGAGAATGAATCCAGAGATGCTCTACAACTGAGTTACATCCCCAGCACTTTTTAGTTTTTCCCTAAATTCTTTTTTTTTTTTTGGAACCAGGGACTGAACTTGGGACCTTATGCTTTCAAGGCAGGCACCAGAACCACTGAGCAAAATCCCCAGTCCACTTTTTAGTTTTTAAGACACGATCTCAATAAGTTGGCCAGGCTGACTTTGAAGTGAACTTGTCATCCTCCTGCCTCAGCCTGCCAAGTAGCTGGGATCACAGGCATACACCACCACATGTGGCTTAAACGTGCACTTTAACACTACATCAACAAGACCAAATTTACTATGAGAGTTCTACAGTAGATTTGGTGTCTTATAAGCACAGTACCCACCTCCAATGAGGGATCCAGGTTTAGCTTAGGAAATTTAAAAAGTCATGAAAAGTTTGAAATTAGAAACTTCAGTGTAAGTGACAATAATAATTACCAAAATTCACTCCTCTTTAAGTTTTAGCTGGCTCTAGAAGGGCTGGGGGATAAAAGAAAAAGCCAAAAAGACCATTTGTTTTGTTTTGTTTGGTTTTGTTTTGTTTTGTTTTGTTTTGCCAGGAGAGGGTAGTGACTTTTTCCGCAGTCACCTGGTCAGCTCCAAGCTGGCTAATGGAAGCAGCCGGGGGCAATTCAGCACAATTCAGCAATTCTGCCTGCCTGATGTGTCCCAACTGTGGGTGTAAGCAGGGAATGGATTACTCAGGATCTAAAACTGAATGTGGTTCCCTGGGAGGAAGATGACCCAGTGCATGGGGAAGTTCCTCCTGCCTCCCAAAATACTGACCTTCTCTGTCAGGACACTGAGTCAGATGGGTCTCTCCCACACTCAAAAACACTTATAAGAAGCAGCTGAAGTCTGGGGAAGAAGCAAAACTAAGCAAGGAGGAAGGAGGCCAAAGTTGAGGATGTGAGCATGAAATAGACTCAGTTCTCATTGGCCATGAAATCTTGTAGGATTTAGTCAGCTCTGAAGTGTGTGTGTGTGTGTGTGTGCGTGTGTGTGGGTGTGGGTGTGTGCTCCTAAGGTGTACTTGATGATGTGGCTGATAAAAGGCAAAACTCAATAAATAATACTCCCTGATAATAATAAATATATAAATGTAGTAAAATATTATTAGAAAATAAGCATTATAAAGAAAAATAAAGAGGAGTGGTATTCCTTATCCCAGGCACTATAGTCACAGTTACAACAATAGCAAAGCAAGTATTTCAGGGACTTTGCTAAAAATTTACATGCATTTTCTCACATAAGCTCTCCACACTTATGTAGGAGAATAGCGGTCCCCAAAGATGGTCACATCGAAATATATCACCTTGCCAGGGATTTAGCTCAGTGGTTCCGCCACCTGCCTCACAAGCGAAAGGTCCTGAGTTCAGTCCCCGTTACCAAAAAAAAAAAAAAAAAGAATATATCACCTTACATGGCAAAAGAGACTTTGAAGATGTAATTAATGATCTTGAGATGAGGAGAACAGTACAGATTATAAAACTGGGCCCCATGTAATCACAAGGGACCTTACAAAAGGGAGGCAGAAAGGGTCAGAATTGGAAGAAATTGGAGAATACACAATGCTGACTTTGAAGATGGAAAAAAGACCAACAAGCCAAGGAAGAAGGCAGCTTCTGAATGATGAAAAAGGCAAGAAAACAGATCATCTCCTGGAGCCTCCAGAAGAAACCTCGCTTTGTCAACATCTTGAATTTAAGACTTCTGACCTCCAGAACTGTAAGAAAAACAATCTGGAGTTTTAAGCCACAACATTAGTGGTGTTTCTTAAAGCAGCCATGTGATGCTAATATAACCAGGGACAAACTTTTACCCCCATTTT